ATATTATATTATATTATATTATATTATATTACATTATACTATATTATATTATATTATATTATATATTATATTATTTAGTTATTTACTTTTTTAAACTGTTTAAGCTGCAAATATATAATTATGGTTATTATAAAAGTATAAGATCTCTGATCACGGTAAATTATAACTCTTCGGTCTTTGTTTGATTAAATAAATTGCTGCGATTTTGAGGAACTTCTGAAGCCGCCGGTTTCGTGTCAAAAGATATACCAAATGCAATCTCGTCGATTCACGCTTATAATTTATCATCACGCGCGAAGAATTCATTGACAACTTTCCAATCGCTAATCCACGATTCTGCGGAGCCTATTAAATAATTAGTGGCAAGTAAAATTTTAATGAAAACCGGCGCGCTAGGTAAATTGGCCGTAGGAACCTCGAGTCACAGCCGGTACATTGTAATAGTTCACTCGAACTCGCGAATCCCGTTACAACAGTCTCCGTACTGTACTTCCCTGACACCGTTCCGACCGCAGGTGTCAATAAACCTAATTAGCCGCGCGCAGTTAGCGACGTCGTAATTGCAACCCCTGGCCACGGTTCTGCGCGGAGGTGAATACGTGTTCCGTTTCGGCCCGATCCGACGACGATTTGTTTTCTTCTCTTTTTTTTTGCTGAGTATCGTGCAAAAAACGCATCGCGACGATATCTCGTTACAGATACGAATCGCATAAGTCATTTGAGCACGTGAGAACGTGTCCAGCACGCACCACCGGCGTACTGTAGAGTGAACACAACACAGGTGGAGTGATCGTAAGAGTGATTAAAGAAGCTAGTTGTGTCTAAATCAGGGGTGTCAAACTCGAAAGCTAACTTGGGCTATAATAATAAATGAACAATGCTTAACTTTAGGTGGGCCGCAGAAAAGAAAATCAATGTTCATAGAAACAAATATTTTTATTTTGACTAGTACATTGTAATAAATACATATATAAAGTTCAATTATTGTTTACGCCCTGATACTTGACATCAAAAATGTTCATCTCGGGCCGCGAGTTTGTCACCCCTGGTCTAAATTGAAGAAGAAGAATTCTTCTTTAAAAATCAGATATCTCTTTTTATAATCTCGAATTATAGTCTCTCAGCTTGTAAACAAAAATGGACAATTTGGCTAGAGGAGATACGATTATTCGAGCCTCGGGGCTCGTTTTTATAGCTGTTGACAATCGGTGACTTTAAAAGCGAGCCACGAGGCTCGAATAATCGTACCTCCTATTCCCGAATTGTCCATTTTTGTTTACAAGCTGAGGGCAATTGTAGTTCTCCTCCCTCTGACTCGATTGGTGAGCAAAATATCGACAAGCTCTCTGAATACTTAAGGGAGCGTTCTATATTCGAGCGGGAAAAAAATCGATTTTTTCTTATTGAATTTTCTTGAAGTTTGAATCCTGGAAATTATGTTTGCGTAGCCATTCAACGGAATTGGTAAAATTGGCCGAGATATGGATTCTTGAAGCGGACGGTTGTACCGCAAACATAATAAACTTTAAACTTCTCAGAACTGTGTTATTCAGAACGATGTCTGCGATTTCTGAAAAACTGATTGATCGATCGCCACGAATCTTTGCACAAATATTTCTATGGCTATGGTTCGAACTAGGATTATTAAAAAAATTCCCGCCCCTCTATTGTTCCGCACTGACATATAAATAAAAGAAATAAGATGAGTTAAAAATCGATAAGTTAAGTTCAGAAAGCCGTGAATTTTTATTTAACGATATTTTTTTCTTTTATCTAGTACCTGTCACAGCTGTACTTATACTTGAAAGATGTAATATTAGTAATTTTTCGGTAATGTAATTTTATTACATTATCGTGTAATAACATAATTCGATGACGTTTGTAACAACAACAGTCACAACAACTGACCACGACGAAAATCTAGTCTTTTCACAAGGAAATTATAGTTCCTTGAAAAGTCAAGAATTATTTATTGCAATGTAACAGGTCGAATGCATTAAATGTTCTTCTGACCAAAATATAATTGATCGCGTGTATGTTTTCGATTATTTGTAATTTAATTTATCAGTTTTCTCGGCATATTTTTAACGCACTACTTTTATATACGTTAATTCTTGTGTAGAAAATTTTAATTAGTTTAGTAGAAACTTGTTATTCAATAATGGTCTTGTCATCCGACTGTTTACTTGACGCGTTAAATCGGTCACACACGAGTAACACTAATTTTTTACTAGTTATCAAAATTTATTTTTGTTGTATTATGTTCGAACGA